GCAGACGGTTATCAACATCAGGTGAACCGCCAGCTCGTTTGCCACTTCCTCACATAAAAAGAATGTCGTGCTACAAGGCTTTTCTATCACAGCACTGGTAACAAATGATAAATTGAGTAACTTAGAAATAACAATCTTTATTACTGAACAACGACTGAGGAGAGTTCGAAAAAACAGCTGGCACAGGCGAAGTGATCTTGTTTGAAAATGGAACGGCGTATACAAACACCCTATTGGATCACGCGCAATAGCAGTTGTCTGTTTCCCGCGTGTTTGTCGTTTATTCAAACCGATAACGCGTTTGGTAAACACGTCCCGGTTAATTGCGCCCTATTACGGTAATTCACACATCTGCCGAGCGAAATGGGACTAACAATTAGGGCTGCCGATTTAGCCCAAATTCAGGGAGATAATACCGAACGGGATTTTTCAGGGTTGTGATATTTTTAGAGTTTATTTTAGAAACACTCTTCATGAACATTCATTAATATATACGATACATATTCAGACACGTTCGTCATAAAATGTTTATGTTAGATTCACTATAAATGTTCCATTTCAAAAGCTCGTATATATCACAAAAAACTGAAACTTCAAATACAGTATGATATAAAAATGTCAATACATTAATTAAATTATGAATCATTAATTAAGTGAGTAGGTGCCATGGTACGTCAGTTTCTTAGCTCTGTTCCAATTTAATATACTCGAGCAACCTAAAATGGATCCGCGCACCAATGAAATCGTTAATTTGTTAAGTGCTGACTTATCACGTTCCCAGCGGTGAAGGAAAACATATCGTGGAAACCTGCATATTTTCGAAATAATATACCTGAGAAATTTAAAAGCTTAAAAACCTTAAAGCTTTTAAACCTTAGTATTTCTATGTCTTTAGGCGTATACTTTTACGCTAACTTAAGCGCTTGCCATTTTACTCAATGACAAACCTTAACAATATAGCTTACGTCTTGAAATCTATTGCACCGGTCCTGATCCTAGATTAAGTAGTTAAAAGCCCGAGATCGATAAACCGGAAGAGTTACGGCATAATTGTTATTCAACACGACGCGCTGAACATCACATAACCATAAACTGACACGAACCATGTTTTTTACGGTAAAGAAGGACGTTTACTTAATTTTATTGGCAAAATTACAACTTTCAATTACCTGGATAAAATAAACCCGTGTTCTAGAAGTTTTCTACATACACGAATATTTCTTTATTCATTACTACCTTTTCGCCCGCGGCTTCGCTCGCGTTGAAGTCCTTATATAAATATCTGTCCCCTTTAAGAACCCTTTATAACCCTTTTTCCAATTTAAAAATAAGCTTTAACCTTTCTCAGGCTCTAGACTATATGGGTACCAAATTGCATTTAAATCGGTTCAGTAGTTTTGGCCTGAAAGCGAGACAGACAGATAGAGTTACTTTCGCATTTATAATATTAGTATGGAAGTATGGATTTATTAAAAACTTTTTTGTACAAGCGGCGGGCTTAATGCTATATACATTTTCTACCAGCCAACAATTATTTCGGGGACAAACACGAACAATTCGCAATAAATCACCAGAGCGGGAACCGAACCCGACCGAATGCAGACGCCGAAGTCTAACCCTTAGCAACTGCGCCAAGCAAGTCCAAGTGAGAGGGGATCTTTCAACCATGGGGGTTTTGTCACGCTCCGGTTCGTAATGTATTTCTTTTATACCCTGTGCCTTTGAGGGATGTTAGTTAAAAAACCGGCTAAGTGCGAGTCGGACGCGCGCACCGAGAGTTCCGTACCATTATGTATAAAAACTGAAAAAAAAAAAAACATAATATCCGTTGTATGGGCACCCCGTTTAAATATTCTTTTATTATGGTTTTCAGTATTAGAAATTTAAACTTTGCTCATCTCTGCACTTAAGATTGAACATTAAAATTTGTAGAAAAAGTACGAAAAGATTGTCGCCGATTGTTTTGTTATAGCTGCAACAGAAATACATCATCTGGTGAAAATTTCAACTGTCTAACTATCACGGTTCGTGAGATACAGACTGGTGACAGACGGACGGACAGACAGACAGTCAGGACAGACAGACAGAGAGCGGAGCCTTACTAATAGGGTCCTGTTTTACCCTTTGGCTACGGAACCCTAAAAAGGGTAATATAGCCCCTAATTGAAAAGCGTATATGAGTGGATGTGAGGGACCAAACGAGGTTTGTGAAATTTTTATATAACATTGTATTGTATAAATATTGATATCGGTGTAAATGAACGTACATTTTCTTGTTATGTCTGGAGCGAGTTCCATCTAATTCTTTTTAATCAACCATCAGTCTTTGGAGTTTACACAGTTATTAAAATATTATATGTACCATTGAAAAATAACAACAGACCATTAAAAGATCAGATATTTATAAATTTTAAAGTTTTTTTATAGTGCTTATCTCTGCACTTAACTTTTCTACATGTTTTAAAGATCAGATATTTCCTAAATGGTTTTCAAAATATTCATTAAAATTTTAATATGTCATCGGCTCAATCGTCAATACACGTTTACGTGAGTTATAACTGGGTTGTATCAAAAAATTCGTATCTGTGCCCTTTTACAAAAATGCCTTACTGTAAGATAACAATAACCTGTTGGCCACACGAACAAACAAAGCCAACTAATTTAACAACTGCTACAAATGCTACAAATGAAATTTAATAAATTGTACACATTTTTTGTTAAATTGAGTTGAAAAAATGTACCGCTGAGTTTCTTTCGCCCGTTCTTCTCAGGTCAGTGGCTTTCTTTCCGAACCGATAGTAGTGTTTTTGACAATCAACAAGTAAGTGTAATGATATTGAATAAAGATAATTGAAAAATGGGTCATCAATAAATGTCGGTCCCTCAAGGCATTAGAATATCTGTCGATCTAAGTAATCTGTCGCCTACATTTCCGTAAAAAATACATTATTACGATACGTAATCTTCAAGACCAGCTGTCCATTAAGAATTTAACGGACGTTGTGCAGTAATTAAAGGAAACGGCTAATTAAGATAATCATCGAGTCATAAACGCACTGTAGGTCGTTGTCCTTAAGGAGTGCTGATGGTCCGTTAATGTATAACAGGCGTTTAATGAACAAAGCAAGCGCGGTGATAAGGTCTGTGCTGCAGCAAACATTTCGCGCCAGTGCCACGAAGTATTGACCGACCACGAATATTGACGAAATTCAGAAACGGAAAACAGAAATTATTTACGGGTCACAGGATTATTGATTTCACCATTCCTGATCAGAACTGACTTGACCGATTGAAAAGAACGGTAACACATTCACATGAGTATTAAAATTATAACTGTATGGACTGAGATTTGAACTCAGACCGTTGTATTTACCAACATTGACTTATATGTTTGTGACTGAATGCACTCGGTGAGTTTTCACCGAAAATGGGCGAAAATTTTTCTGGCCTTTTTTGTTTACCCCGTTAGAGTCAAAAGACTTTGGGGCCCGGTTGTTTTGTTGCATATTATTACCGTTTTGATTTTCAATTACGTTTCCGAGCCATTAACATTTTAATCTTAATTAAAGCCACTAGTAATGGCTAGTGGTAGTGACCGAATTGACAAACATCATGTAAAGGTATCTTACGACAAATATTATTTAAACAATGTTTATGTCCTCGCGAAGAAGCCTGACTAACGGAGAGCTTCGTTTAAAAACAAAACAACGCTGAGTCATCCGCGCCAGCGTAATTTCTAGATCTATAACCCTGAGAGGATTTCGCAAGGATCGAGTATTGTAGGCCACGGTTCAATGGGAAACTCCTCGAAGAAACTCACATGTGATGAATCAGTTCACATGTACTCGTGTTTTGAATTATGAAATCAGCAATTAAGCAATATACAGTAAGCTTTTTATTGAATTAACAGTTGGTTTTTTTATTTTGTGCTGTACGTTTGGTTTGTTGGAAATTGGTTCACGAGTTTTCTTACGTTCTATTCAATTGGTGCGGTAAATATAAATTAAATTGATACTTAAAATTCATGAAGTACCAACATGTCAATGCAATTTTTCTAATCAGTTGAAGTTTTTTTGCGCATGCACTTTACAGTCTAGACGTGGGTGTATTTGTGTCACGAGAAAAAAACAAGGAGTGATACTCTTATTAAGTTTTGACTAAACTAGCATAACTGTTTTATATTAAATGTACAAAAAGGAAATTGATAAATTCTTGTTGAACAGGATGGAATAATATATATTAAATTAGTTAGTTTGTGACAATTTTATTTTTCTTTTCTAAATTGTTTTTCTCAGGTATCGTTGTATTTAGAAAAAGCTTGTGCTTGACGATTTCGTTAAAAAGAGGATAATTAAAAGACTACATTTTATCTAATAATACAATATTGTGTTGTGTGAATAGCTATTATCTCGGCATTGTTGAGTTACTGCATAAAACCATTCTTTAGTGCGTTGACACGCTTCTACTAGGTCAATTGTTAGAAGTGCTAATTTTAAAGTGCTTATGCAACCTGTTTACGTTATTATGCATATATAGTATATGCTATAAAATTATTTCTAAGGGATAGATGAGACTTGTTTTGTTTATGTTTGTAGGTAAAAGATATAAAATTATTTCTAAAGTGTTAATGACACCATCAACCAGAACAGATCGTCGGCAATCGTAACAAATAACAACTTTACATACCTATCCGAGTTGGTAAGGAATAAAAACCGTGAAATTGGTTTAAACACATATTTATTATCCGATTTACATTATGAAACACCATCATATCTTTTAACTTAACCTATGTTTATTGGTTAACAGACTTTGGCTACGACATAACATTTTGGTGAGCACTATCACTGGGTTCGTTCACAACCATCACGTAGCGGCTACTGTCCAAACATCGAAGCGACGCGTTTCCCGCCGCTAGTGGGGATCCAACCACGTCTCCGCCCCATCACGGGGCCGCCGTCAGCGGACGTCAACTTTATCCAAACCGCGATCCACGCGGCTCAAGGCTCCTCGTCCTCGGAGAGCGACGGCAGCACGCTGCGCTGGACCCTCCTCCGGCGGTGAGGGTCGGTCTTCTGGCGCCTGAGGGCTTCGGCGCGGACGTGGCAGTGTTCCCGCTCCATCTCCGCCTCGGAGTCGTCTTCCACCAGGGCCGGGAGGGCGCAGCAGATCTTCTGTCGCTTGGGCTCCGCGCAGCCCGACCGTTGACGCGCCGGCAGACTGGGGTACACGTCCGCGTACAGGGCGACTGATAGCTTCACGACCATTTTGCTTAGTAATACGTGCGTTCGCAACAGAAGTTGGTGGCAGAGTGAGGGGAGCGGACCGCGCGCGGTATTTATAGCCTCCGGCTATACTAGCTGTGCTTGTGTCGGACGCGCGTCACACGACGTCTGCGTTACGGTCGCGCCTCGAAACCGTCACGGTGTTCGATAGCAGTCCACGCGCTTAGGACTGTAACCGCGTCGAATCCACCTTTATAGAGATGCACGCTCCGTGCAGCGAACAATACCAAGCTTCCTTCAGCTCGTATGGAATTAGGTTACATCACCGTCGCATTATAACTAAAACGTGTTGTTTAAAAGTACGTAACGTAATAAGGTGTCGTTCGGATCTCTCAACACCACTTCTTCAGTTGTCCGATGCCAATTTCCTGCTGCCAGGATTCCTCGAATGTTCGGAATAATTATTTAAACTCGTCTTGGGTCACGTCCCATTTTATATGCGCACAGTTCGGATGAATCGATTTCTTTTTATAATGTTGTCGCTGATCACGAATAAATATACAATCAGTGGTCATCACAACACACTATGCATCATTCTTGCAGGCATGAAAGCCGGAGATATTATGCATTTAGAAAATTAAGGGAGAACTACGAAAGATGGCGGGATAAACGTAATTCGTCATAGAATTCAGCTGCAATAAAGTCGATTTGGAAGAGTTACACAAGAAGAGAAAAAGAAATCGAAAACGATGATGCAATTAACTGCGATAGAAGAGATCCTTAGATATACACACGCGAAGGCATTTAAGAAAGACTTTCCATAAAAACAACGCTGAAATATTTAAAAAATAATGTCTAAGAGATGTTTAATGCTTAGATAAGAGGTGAGTATAACTTAGCAAACATATTAAAAACCGATCACCGACGTAATTCCGAAGTGAAACAATACTGCAATAGCATTGCTCTGAACCGCCATTTTAAACTATGAAGTCTCTCAATTTATAATAATTAAATAAACAGTAAGGGCAGCAATTAGCACTAAAAGTAAAATTATGTTAGAATAATCAAGTAAAAATATTGCAGTCTTGCACAAAATATCGCGTTTTCTCATAAGGCTCGACATTTATCTTTTATTTTTCCTCTGCGCGTTTATTTTTTTATGTGAGATAGTGGCAAGCGAAATGGCGGTTCACCTGATGTTAAAGTGACAACCGCGGTCCATGGACATTTGCAACACCCGTAAGGTGTGGACGGTGCGGATGCGTTGCCACCTTTTAGTGAAGTAGACACCGGATCAGCAGACGAATCGCAGAAGTATAAAACTTCCACTTCACGCTTGGCTTCTGTGAGGTCGTGGTATTCACCCGGACGGACCTACCCTTTCCTGCAACAGTCAATACTGTTCACGAGGCCCTACCGTTTAATATGAAAAAGTTACAAATTTTTAGCAAACTGTTTGCCGCTGCAAAGAATGAGAACCTGTGCCTAAGCGGTCCTACACAATTTTATCTTTCAGTCTGATCACTCGTATCTATGTTTGATTTTAATGCCCGCAAAAAGTACTAAACAAATCAATGCCTTCAATGCGCCGAGAGAGGTCGTTGGTCTGAAGAGTAAAAATAGTACATTTATTACCATCAGGCAATTGTAATTGTAGGGATCTGGGTCTAGTTAATTAAGCATCGCTTGAAATGATTACATACAACCAGGCTCTGAATAGCGTCTTTGTATCAGATACTTTTTCATGTTTTTTTTTATTATACGGATCAGTGTTAAAATACGCTTTTGCTGATACGTCAAGTAAATGATAAATTCATTTACTGCTCTGCCACAATTTTCATAAAGTTGATTCCAGATTCAAAACTGGATAGTACTGATAATAGGCAATTGGTATTAAAACATGTAACCGATATTTTTTATAATTTATTAAATTATTTTTGATTTTATCCTTTATAAGTTAATTGAGGTAGATTAGAACAAAAAGTTTAAAGTAGCTATTTTAAGCTTTCATATATTCCAACATCGTCCATTTTGTCCAAATGAAATTTCATAATCATGTAATTCACTTAAAGTGACATGTTTGTTTAAAATAATGATTTTTGTCACATTAAAGCTAATTGGCGCTATCTTTGTTATAATGGTGATTAGAGGACTCTAGCAGTGAAATATGAGAACAACGATTATCTTGATGCAAGTGGCCCAGGATCGTACTTCATGGCAGTGACACAGTGTACAGCATGACAGTGTGGGAGACCTATGTTCAGCAGTGGAATCAAACAGGCTGAAATTATGACACAAGAAAAGCAGTTTACGAAGAGTCTGTGCTAAAAGGACAAATGCGGAAGATAATAATTTTACCGGGGTTTACCCCGGTAGGTTTGGTTGTCAGTTTGTGCATATAATTTATTATATGCACAAACTGACAACCAAACCTAGGACCATAAGACAAATGAGAATCGAGTCAATCATTCCACCAACATGCGATTAACGGTCTCCATATGGCGCGTACACCAAGGACAGGTGTCTTGGCCGAAATCCAAACGCCGTTCCCAACGTCTGCTACCAGGAATTAAATATATAGTTTACTGCCGACTCTAGTTATAGGTCATTGAACCGCGTCACTATAAAACGAATAAAACATAACACATTACATCGTCTTCTCTTTAGATCTTACACTTTAATGGACAGTTAATTCTGCCCGAAGCCAATTCCCATGGCTACAAATGTTAAGCAGATACCTATTTATATTACATAACTTTGTCAAGTAGAAGTTTTACACTTCTGCGTTTCGTCTGGTGAGTGAGGTAGCCGAGGCCCACTTTATTAAAGGGTGGCAACACATCTGCAACCCTACGGGTGTTGTAAATGTCCACGGGCGGCGGGTATCACTTAACATCAGGTGAACCGCCAGCTCGTTTGCCACTTTCTCACATTAAAAAAAATATAAGGTATAGCCCGCGTTTGCAATGTGAGCGCACAAAAATATTGTTATTTGTCCGCTTTTCTCTAATATAATATGCAAGTTTAAACCTTTCTCTTGAATCACTCTATCTATAATTGCTGAAAACTCCAATAAAATCTCTTACGTAGTTTAAAAGATCTATGCGTACAAACAGCGGGAACGACTTTGTTTTACACTATGTATATAAAGATTATTTTTATTACACTCTGGTTTTCCTTCAATTCGTATTAATAGATCTCTCGCCTTTCACATATTATATTGTTAATGTTATGTCAATATTACTCAAGCATTTTGGTAAACAATGTTTATTTCCTTATTAACATTCCCTGTACCCGTTTGACCTTGAATAAAACAAACCTTTAACACAAATCGCAAATTAACTTTACATATCATCAGGATATATCGAATTGTAAAAATATTCAAACCAAGAAAGCCTTAAAAGGCAACAATGTCTTGAACTGTCATCATTATAATATTCTTTAATATTTACTCTGATAATTAAAGAAAATAACATTATCTTGACTGCAATATCGCATCGAAGTTAAGTAGTATCCGTTTTTATATGTTATAATTATTGTAAGGAAACTTTTTATAAATACGTCATCGCGCTATCTTACTGATCAGATGTACGCAAAAGTTTGTGTTTCTTCTTCATTGCAACCACTAAACGTAATGAATGTAACTTTTGAATAGAGTTCGTACAATGCTTTTTACGCATAGAATACATTTTGCGTAAAAACTAAATGTCCATTGCGAGCATAGCCGCGCATGCTTATAGCATTGCAAAATATCTGGCGACCAGCCCAATTGTTTAATTGTCTGCGAAATAGAATTACGTAATGCGTCACGGGATTCATTTTTCCTCTAATTTATAACAAGCTAGTCGCCCGACACGGCTCGCTTAAACATTCGAGTGGATAGACTTTAATCAATTAGTGTTTGCCGTTTGCTGCGCGGTGCGGATTCTCGAACTTTCTAGATTTTTGCAGCGCTGGCGAGTTCTAATTTTGGGATATCTCACACGTTCCGAACAAAGATCTTTTGCGTAAATAAATCCTCGATTATAATCCCACATGTCGTAAATTCTAATGGTTTTAGATCTGCTAAAGAGGTTCGAAAACTACTTTCTGACAATCGTTCTTAGTTTACGGTAACAGGTATATCACCAACCACTTGTGGGATAAGATCTCAATGTACATTAATAGTACCGAAAAATATACGAAATATAATGTCGACTGTGGCTAAGAACAGATATTCGCAGGGGCTGTATATGTCCGTCAGTGGAGATCATAGATAGTGATTTTGACCAAATAATATTGTCTGTATTTATGTGTGTTGTTCACCTGATGTTAAGTAGAATAGGGCCTATAGAATATTCCCTGCATGTCGTAAAAGGCGACTAAAAGGGGACACTGATTGGGGGTGGCCGTCGAGGGGGTTTTAGCCCCACATAACCCTGTCATGTAAGGTGACAGGGTATATTTTTAAGATCCCCCCCCCCCCCCCCCGATACAAAAAAAAGGGTTGCAGATGCGTTGCCACGCTTTTAATAAAGTGGGCCCCGGCTACCTCACTCACTGGACGAAAGGCTGAAGTAAAATACTCACACTAAACGCCGGTGCCTATCCAGCCTTTGATTTTACTTAGTAATTAGCAAAAGGCATGATTTATGAATCAATCGATCGATATCTGACCTTCATGGTTTAAACATTAATGCAAAAGCCGCCTCGCAACCTTGTCACCGGTCAACCTTGCCGTGTATTCTTCAGCCCTGTGAATTTCCCGGGAGCTGTTCGAAGGATTTTAATTGTTACGAATGCTCCTTGACTTTAATAGAAGGATGAAGAAAGAAGACCCAATATAGATTAATCTATCTATTGCCCATAAGTACAGCGAAAAAACACCTCGTACACTTAAGCTACCTAACCCCCCCCCCCCCTCTACTACTTCTTCCCCGGTCATCAAAAACAGTCGATTGCATCGAACTGTCCTCCTTGACCGCGCTTCGATATCGCATTGATTATTATCAGTTTCGATGACTTGCCTTGCACCTCAATCAGATGATTATCCGCATACCTGG